TCAGGCAGGTCCTATTTAAGTGATTACTTGATTGAGAACAGGTGTGGCAGTAATCAGGGCTGGGTGTGGCTAGAGAAATTGAACTCAGCTTTTCAAAGATGTGATAAACCACAGTTGATTTATGTTTTAACAGTGGGGGCAATCACTTTTTCACACAGGGCCATGTAGGTTTGGATTTTTTTTCCCCTTAATAATAAAAACCTTCATTTAAAAACTGCATTTTGTGTTTACTTGTGTTATCTTTGTCTAATATTTCAATTTGTTTGATGATCTGAATCATTTCCGTGTGACAAACATGCAAAAAAAAGAAATCCGGAAGGGGGCAAACACTGTTTCACACCACTGTAGATTTATTCCATGCTGAAAAGAGAAGAGAGAAAACACAACGTTTCGTCTGTGAAGCCTTCGAAATAGCACAGAGGGAAGATGTTGAAGGGGAAGGTGCCTGGTGGGGATGATTGCCGAGTGCGGTCAAGGGAGCTGTGAGCCAGAAGTTTATGTACTGTAGATTGGGTGGTCAGTGGTATGAGATGATTGGGTGGTTAGAAAAAAGGGTACTGATGGAGGAATTGCCCTGTAAAAATTGAATAGTTGTTAATAAATTGTCCTGGGGACAGAAAGTGTGTTAGAGTGGTGTGGAAGCACCAAAGGAATGCAGTTGTGAGACCAGGTGTTCCTGGTTGAGTTGATGATCCAGGGGCTGTTTTTGGCCCAGGTGAGGGCCCTATCAATAACATGGGTAGGATATCCTCTGTTGATGAATAAAGAATACATTTTGAGTGCTTGGTTCTGAAAATCCATGTCATTACTGCAGAGGCGACTTAGCCTGAGGTGTTAGTATGTGCTTTTCTGAGGTGGCAGACTACTTATTCAAGCACATACAGTACAGTATTTCTGAGCATTGTACTACAGTGGTCATAGGCTGGAGCCTTCTTGTGTTTATATCCATTATCCAATATCCATTTCATATATTTAATTGTTTTATAAGATCTCACAATTTAGATTTTATGTATTTTCTAGCCATTGTCTTATATCGGCAGAGGCCTGAGGATTTAACCTTAGCCTTCATGGTCTTTGCCTTCCCAAACCTCCTTCCCAGTTGATAACAGGAAAGCTGAATTCCTTTAATTTTAAGTGAAATTGTCTTAAACAGTTAAACAAATGGCAGATAAAAATAAAATGTACTTTTAATCTTGTTTCAATTTTAAATATGCAATAAATTGTGCCATGGTCTGAAGGGCTGTGTAGAAAAGCTTTAAATTATACTAATTTATGTAAATTTGTACATATTCATTATTTCTTATTAAATAAAAGAAAATTAAATTAAAGAACAATTGCTATTGCTTTCCTCATTGATTTTAGTACACTTAATTTTGCTATCATTTTGTGAATGAAATGCCACTGATATCTGAATTGTTTATTAAAATATCAGTTTTTATACAACATAATTAAGAAGAAAAAAATATTTTTCTTCAATGTTAAATAACTCATCACCTTTCAAGGTTTTTTAGATTTTCTGTCTTTCAGATCCTAGGTGTGAGCCTGGTCAGTACCTGGATGGGAGACGTCCTGGGAAAAACTAAGGTTCCTGCAGGAAGAGGTGTTAGTGGGGCCAGCAGGGGGCGCTCACCCTGCGGTCCATGTGGGTCCTAATGCCCCAGTATAGTGACAGGGACACTTTACTGTAAACAGGTGCCGTCCTCCGGATGAGACATAAAACCGAGGTCCTGACTCTCTGTGGTCATTAAAAATCCCAGGGCGTCTCTCGAAAAGAGTAGGGGTGTATCCAAGGCATCCTGGCCAAATTTAAAATTGGCCCTTACCAATCATGGCCTCCTAATAATTCCCATCTATGAATTGGCTTCATGACTCTGCTCTCCTCCCCACTGATTGCTGATGTGTGGTGAGCGTTCTGGTGCACTATGGCTGCCGTCGCATCATCCAGGTGGGGCTGCACATTGGTGGTGGTGGAGGGGAGTCCCCATTACCTGTGAAGCGCTTTGAGTGGAGTGTCCAGAAAAGCGCTTTATAAGTCTAAGCAATTATTATTAATTATTATTATTCCGTTTTCATATTTTGTTGCTTTAAAGTTCACAGACTGAAACTTTGAAACAGCTTTAAATATACAGTAATTATAATATACATATCCTAATACACACATTCAAAGCATAAAGCAAACAAAATCTTAAATAAAAAATGGAAGGTTCATGATTGTGTAAGTATTCAAATCCTTTGGCTGCACCCTTTGGCACCTAAATTAATTTAGGTGAACAAAAGTAACTTAACAAGTCACATAGTTGAATAACTTCTGTTTGTGTGCATTGTAGTTCACATGATTTCAGAGTCCTTGTAAGGTCCCTCAATTAGGTACTGAATTTAAACAAAGTTTCAACCATGAAGAAGCAAGATGCCATGAAAACCTAAGAGAAAGGTCTAAAACATGTCAAAGACACTGAATATCCCTTGGTGAAGTTGATCATTAAGAAAGTGGAAAGTGTATCGTACTACCCAGATGCGGCCTAGATCAACCTGATCTTTCAAAGTTTGCAGCTGAATAAGAAGGAAACTGTTTAAGAGTGCCACTATGAGAATGCTCTTCCCCAGAAGAGCATGACCTTTGCTTACTGTCTTTCTCACACCTGAAGAAGGCCCCACGGCTGAAACGTTGTGTTTTCTTTCTCCTCTTTTCAGCATGGAATAAACCTATTATTTGTTCCTGTGCAGCCTACGCATGCTGATGCAGCTACCCACCTGAACTCAGAATTATGTACAAAGTTGTTAACCACTTTGTAGAAAAAATATTTTTGATCTGGAATCTGTCTACAATAGGGCAATCAGATGCATTCCGGAGCTAAAAGGAATTTCTTCAACAGAGAAGACTGTAAGGGGATCTGTGCACTTAAAACTAAGAACAAAAAGCACTTCTTTACTCAAAGGATTGTGGGACTATGAAATACTCTACCTAACAATGTTGCGGAGGTCAATACATTGGTTTCTTTCAAGAAATGGCCCAAGAAGAGATTTCCCCAGAAAGAAATGGTAAATTACCTGCTGACCTCCATCACCTGACTAACTGGTGGAAGACAAATTATGACATTAAAAAAGAGAAAGCAGTCATTTTCACTGGAAATTAACCTCTGCTCTCCTACTATATATCCTATAGAGCAGATACAAGAAAAGAAGATACAGTAAAGCTAGTATTTTTTGTTTTTCACTTTGCACTGTTTCCCCTTCACTGGAAAAAAACAGCACTGTTTTTTACCTTCATGGCATCACACTTTAACAAATATGATAATAAGTAAATAACGTTACTTACCTCAAATTGATAATTAGAGATATTGTGATTCCATTACTGAGCATTTTCAAAGACTGATGCTAAAAGGGTCTATAAAAAGTGCTTTATTACTTTTAGTTTCAAGACCATTTAAGTGTGTAGATTACTTCAAATTAATTACTTCAAATTAATAGAAAGATAGGGTAGTGAAGTAAAATAACTCTTTGAGAAATGGGAATACAAAACAAAAATAGGCTTCTGGAATTTATTTCTGAGAATCAATGTATTTCCTAGTCTTTAAATATAAATTCTGCTAACTTTAACATCCTAGGCCCTTCCCTAACCAATGTTAGGGAAAATTATGATACAGTATTTGTTATTTTTCTTAAATGTGCTACCTGCTCTGTATCTTCTCTGAATCACAGCATCTCTGAATTGCTTGGTTCAGCTCTATAATCTTATTTTATAAACCGATAATCCACAGCTGAGCAACCTAAACTTTAACTTAATAACAGTTGTTCAAACTGAATTTGCAGCATAACTTTTTCTGCTTGAGTTGATATCTTATATACAGTAGTCTCTGCTGGATCTGGAGGATTGTCAATAGTGAATGTCCCAAGAATTAGGTCATATTCCCTAATGCGTGCCTTGTATGACTGCTGATGAAAGACACAATGTGGTCTTTTAAGGTAGGCCAGCACCTAAAGGGTCTAGAAAAAGTCACACAGACTGTAGGGAAACAGATAACTAAACAATACAGTATATCATATTAAAGGTGTGTACAGTACTATTGCAAAATTTCACCTTACCTTGAGCGCTTTGAGACACTGAAGCACATAGTTTTGGAAAAGCATTTAAGATAGAATATTTCATCAAAATAAAGCTTGAAGTCACCTGGAAAAAAACTAGCTATGTTATTAAAGCTAATACCCAGAGATTCTTCAAGATTCTTCCAAAATGGCTGAAAGAGAGCCTTTGATTAATCAGCAGCTTGCAACTAAATAAGCTACTGTAGATAGGCAGAATCTACTTTGAGCCCTTCTATATTTTAATAAGAAAGAAAAGCAGACAACAAGCAGAGACACCACCTTGCAATCAAATATTACTGGAATAATGACTCCTAAAGGATAGAAACACTGTTAGATGCATATATTTCATTGTTATTGATTGGAGCCTTGTTTATAAATACCTGCATATTACCTGACAGATAAAGTGAAAGAGAGAAAATTACACTTAACCACTTATTTTTCAGAGAGAGCAAGGGTTAGTTTGTGAGCATTTATCTTCATCTTTTTTTTACAAATCTCAATTATTTAAATATTATTTATTTGCTTAAAATAATATTTGGAAGTTATGATGTTCCATTTTATATTTCTTACAAAACCGTATTTTCATGACAATGGTGTGTTTTGGAATGTTTAAATTGAGAGTGACAGAGTTAAACTATGATTCTCTGGTATTAGTCTAGTAGTGCCTTTTCTGTTAAGGATACGAAAACCATGCAGTTAGAGCGCACTCTAAAGACACCAGACTTTAAGCAGCTGATATACTGTACTGTAGCTACACAGTATTTTCTCTTGTTTCATCACCTCGTGTGCACTGAACAGGGCGTGGACAGAGGCAGCAAGCCTGTCATTCCCTCCCACAGACATCTGACATTGGACTAGAAGAGACCACAATACATTTCTTATTGGTTATTGCCTTGTCAGTTATGACAGAGGCTCCAGGTTATGAATGGAGTGTGAAGTTGAGAGGACTCGAGCAGAGGAGCGATAAAGGCAGCATGAGGCTGGGCGCACAAGTTCTGAATTATTTCGCACTAACCTCCAAGAAGGCGCTTTTTGTGAAAGCTTAAGTGGCTTCGCTTGTAACCAACTTTTAATCTCAATCTACAGTAACTGCTTTGTGAACTAAATTATTTTATTTGAATCTGTCTGGATTGGACATGATCAGTACTTTAAACACGTAAGAAGAACTGCAAAAGAAGATTTTTAAATCCTATTCGAAATGGATATTTCAGAATGTTTGATCTTAATGATCAGCCTAAATTGCTTGCTCACTTCTGTAAGTATCTTTTTCTCTAAATGACCTAGATGACAGTTGTCCTCTGTTTTACCGAACTAAAGGTTGAAAAACAATTATAATGTTAATTTGAATTTTGCTATTAACAGACATCTTTATACGTATTGGATGAATATAAATGTATTGAAGTAAGGTACTTTAATATCCATTTTGTAGATTTACAAGATTCATTGCTAGTTTAACAATTGGAGTATTTAGTAACGATGTAAATTTATCTATCGGGTTAAAAAACCGGATGACTTTATGGCAGGTACTTTTAGCTATACAAATAGTTGCACTGCAGATAAAATTAAATGATTCAGTTGCTGGCGATGAAGAACCGTTGAAAGTGTTAAATATATTAAATTCATTATAGGATCACAAGTATTTTAAAATATTTTCGTGATATGTAGATAACAAACAACAGCAATACAATATTGGAGCTACAGATTTTTAGTACTGAAAGCGATTCTCTGCAAGTTAGTACGATTAATACTTCAACTGTACTACTCCGCTACAGAAGAGTTACACACGACTTTCAGAGTGTATCAGGAGTATTATGTGTCACATTAGGATTGCAAGGAAAATCTGTAATAACATAAAATCATATAATACATGAAAATAAAAACAGTATCGATGTTGCCTACTTTTTTAAAATGCAAGTTCCTAATTTTGTGATATTACAACATACTGTATACAGCCATTTTAATAATAAATTTAGTCGAAGTATAAATTTGAAGTTTTGGTTTATCAACATCAACTTGTTGACTGCCAGATCATATTTATGAAGATGAGCACAAACATTATAAATGTAAAGCATGTCATGAAGGACAGTACCTTGGCTTCTGACTCTGGAGTTTGAAAGGACATGGGATGCAAGGTGTTTCCTTTGCTAACGTTGGAAGGATTCTTTTTAAAATATGTTGCAGCAGATACAGTAATTGTCTAGACTTGACCTGGATATTACTCTAAAGCAACTTCGTTAACTTTACCGTTAGACTCTTCCTTGGACATGGAGATCATAAAATTTGTATACTATATACAATACTTTCCATTTTTATATTTAAATGCCACTTTTTATAATGAACTGTTTTGTTAATCTTATCTAAGATAAATTCCTGGTAACAGTTTTCTGGATTGCTTCCAAGAAGCTTTAGCTCAGCATTCTCTCATAAAATAAATATTTAGACCAACTTAGTGTGAGGAGCCAGCTGACAGTTACTAAAGCTTCCTTAGAGTGTCACATTTATCTTTGTAGCAGACCAACATCTGAAGTAATCCTCAAGAAACAGTCACAATGGTTTCATATTTCATGAAATTTTCCAGAAGGATATCTCTTTTATAGTGTATTTATGCATGACCTACAGTTTGAAAACCGAGTTATAACTTGTGTACTGATACCAAAAAAGACCCATGGGTTGCATGATCACATTTGCAAGTGAAACTGAAGAAAAAAGAAACCACTTAAAGCATGCTTTTCTTGCAAACAAAATGGTAAAACTTAAAACTGTTATTAAAAAGAAATGGAAGCATGAGTGTAAAATGCTTTCAGTAATATATTTTATTTGAACTAAGGAAGGACTTCAGCAAGCAATCTATTAAATAAAACTGTTAATTTAAAGTATTCTGTGTTTATAACTGTTAATCCTGCAACTTTGGGAAGTCTATTTTTGTCCTCTATGAAATGGACATTTCGTAGCAAGAGTAGCAAAGTGTGAATGCAGTTGTATATCAATGGCACTGAGTTCACCCAAACAAAATACAGAATACAGCTAGAGGAAATGTCAGTTGAATGGGTCAGAAACCTATCAAACTTATCTGCATTCACCTTCTGTTGCACTGGATATGAGGAATAGAGAACTCAGAAATACTGTACAATTGAAAATCCTTTAGAGCCATTACCGCGCTCCGAGGTAGTTGTGGCTTATTAGAAAAACACTAATTATTTACAATTACATAGTATTTAAAATTGTATTAATATGAATCAAATATTACCTTGTTGTAATTATCATACTTAATACTATCATAAGTTATTTTTATTTCTTTAATACATTACATATCCTGCTTAATACTGATATGTTCTGCTTATGTAAGTACAGTGTACAGCTTATGACTTATGTACTGTTCCTGCACTATATAGTTTTACCTTTCTCCTTAGGAGTTACAAATGGATTTCATAATTCTGAATTTTAAAAGAATACTAATATTAAGCTACTAAAAATACATAAAATAAAGGTACATATTTTCGAACTACCATTTGCTATTGGTGCAGCTCCTAAAATATTTACTTGGTATTTCAACTCAGTTTTCAGTGATCATATGTTTTACACTATCTCATTAATTTTCAAACAAATGCAGCAGAAATATAAACAAGAACATTGATTTTGGAATTAGTTCTGTCCTTATTGAAAATGTCCAAGAGTTCAGAGTTATTTGATAATTGTAATCAGATTAAAACTTGCCAGGCATAAAAAAGAAAAAAGACCAACAATATCACATCGGTTAAGAGGGCCAAGATAGTAAAACTGGTTAGTCCTCCAAAAAATTAAACAAAGATTCCATTTTGTAATCTACTTGCCAATTTCTGTCTTAGCTTTTTCTATACAGTATGTGAAATGTTTTAGTCAGACATTACATTTAATATTCAACAGATGGGATATTGTAATTAGTTTTTCAACAGTTGCCCTTGTTTTAGCAAGTAATGCGGAACATCTACAGTAGATGCAATGCACATAAAAAGCAAGATGCAAGTTTAGTGCATTCTTGGGACACATGAAAAAAGGAATCAGAACAGATTGTAAACTAAACCTTAGGTTAATGTATACAAATTATACACAGCTTGGTTTTTAATTGTGTTTTAACTGTGTTGATTGCACAAGTTTAATACTTTCAACACCCTTAATCTCCTTTATGTGCTCATCAAAATGTTCATTTTATAAGTGAAAATCTAATTTACTTTTCAGAAGAAGTAAGAAAAAGAATATAGATTTGGTTCCCTAGTCAAATGTCCATGTTATGTATTCCACTAACTCTTAAATCATTGCATTATTGCATTATGTTCTTTTTTCAGGTCCTCCTAAAGTATACACATGTCATGCTATTTTAAAACACCATGACAACAGCCTTGAGCATGCAAAGGTAATTTTGTCCTTTCTGTGACAACCTTGGATAAAACATCACAGAATCCAATAAATACCAGTGTATTAATTAAAAAAAAATACTGCATTAGTTTGCTTTTACAGAACCCCTGAAGTAACACCCATCCATTGTTTCACCCAGCTAAAGTACTGTACATAACGTTTGGTTTTTGGCCTTCACCAACAAGAATGACTTTTTTCTTTGCTGTCCTGTGGATCAGATACCCTCATTCTGAGGGGAACTAGCTCCTGAGGGCAAGAAATCAATTTTTCAGCAGTTTTACTTATGGCCTTTTGCTGTATAATCTGCATAATTTGCAGGGAAAGTGGTATGTGTGAATAAAAAAAACTTTCTAGTTAAGGTAATCAGCAAGCAAGTCTGGTAAATTTCAAAAAGGCAGACATTAAATATTTAGCTTTCAATGTATATAGTTTTGTGGAAAGGTAATAGTCACCTTTCTTTATAAATGCTCCTCCTCAGGGCAGGCATGTGGAATTATTTGTAACCATATAGGTTTATTTAGTTCTTATTTGAGTATTTTACACACCTTGTACATCTAAGAGGGCAGAAAAAAACATTAAGATACTAAATTCACAAAATGTGGTGTCTTACAATTCAGTGGGAATTATCAGGAACTATGTCTATTAAAATTAACAAATAAATTCTGCTTAACACCTTTACTGATTACAGAATACTGATAACATTTCTTCAAGGATTTAGTATAGAAAATGTTGTATCACATTTCTTTGAATGTGTAATTTTGAAAGTCAGAATAAATTGAAATTGCATAAATAATGAAATTGTTTTTTAATTATTTATAGATGACTCAAGACTTGATATATGTATGTATCTTTAGGTTTACTGGAGTAAACACCTTTACTTGTTGAACCACCATATATTAATATATATATACTGTATATGTTGCAAAATATTAAAAAATGTATAAAAAGCTATACATATATAAGCTAGTACGGTACTTCAGTCGTAAAATATGGTTATTCATTTAGGCGGGATACAGTAATGATCAGTTTTTTTAGTTTGGGAATAAAGTTAGTTCTCCAGCTTTTCTAGAACATGATTGTTTATTAATTGGTTGCAATAAAATGTTATGCGCTCCTTGTTGGAGATGCTGAAATTGTCCAAAATATAGACATTTTCAAAACCATCATTTCATCTTATATTTTGGTTAATATATTTAAAAAGAAACATTGGCTTGAAACGTATTTAAAATGTAATATTTTACTAAAAAATATCTTTTCATACTCTTTGACACATGTACACACCAAACAGCGGTTTAAAGAATTTGTAATCCAAACAAACCTTTAACTCATGCACAGTCTGTGCTTTGTCATTTTGATTCTTCCTTCTTCATCAGTTAAGCTGTTTTGTGTTATACTTTAATAGCACTTCTTTCTCTTACCAAAATAGTCGTTTCAAAAAACTGTTTTAGCCTTATATTAAATTAAAAAAACATGTTTTTAAGCTCAAAGCTTAAAGCTCAAAATTAAGTGACTATCCAAACTATAAGGTATAAACTATAAGTTTGATTTTAGGAGGAGAAATAACATGCTAATACTGGTTGTTTGGCTAATATTAATATACATGTTTGGTAAGGGCTCTTTCAATGTTTAGTTCTGATACAAAGATATCCTGTATGGCGAGGATCACTACATGTGCTTATATTATGATAATTTAGTAGCCTGGCAACATTAATCATTTACAGATACTGTATATACAGTATACTGTTCAGTTTAAGAATACTGAATAAGTGTTATCCCTCCAAGTTAAGTACTTGCTTTTTAGGAAATTATAACAGGACAAATTCTTGACTTTATAGATCCACATTTAGGATGGATTACAAAACT